CTCGAAAAGTATTACTTTATTGCAAGAGGAGTTGAAGAATTACTTTACTGCACAAGGGGCAAAAGAGTAGAACCCGAGCGGAACTAACCTCCCCTTCAAAAAGCGAGAAAGTGTCGGGTGCAGACCAAACACCACAACTGACGACGGCCTCCAAGTAAATCTGGTTAGAAGTTGTTCATAGTGATAGCTGATTTCTGGTAAATGATAGTTGTAATTAGTGACAACGATAGAATACAACTGCAACAGGCTAATCATTTCATTGGCAGAAAACATTAACATTTTGTGAGGCCGTCGTCACTTGTGGTGCATGGTCTGCACCCGACACTTTCTCGCTTTTTGAAGGGAGGGTATATTCACTGAACAAACGATCCGTGTAAATTGTAAAACGTTTAATACCCAGAGCGTTCTTCGAGAGTCGGGAATTATTTAGCCTAGTCAGCTATACATGGAAGTATGGGCCCAACGCTGTGCACTCAAATCTTTACAGCAGACCAGATCAGCTAATGGTGAGGACTTTTGTAATCCTTTGTGAAGAGTTGTATTGACTGGGACCACGAATAGCGCTGTATTTTTAGATACGGGAGGAGACTCACAAGGAAAGGTCGGTCAGCCCGGTTTTTTTTCTGCTCCGTAACTTCTTTTAGAAAATTCGTTCTATCTTCTTTTTCACCCTAGCGTTAGTCACGCGGAATCGCAGGGTCCGCTGCTTAAAATCCTTTTCACGTCTAACAAAAGCTAATTTTGAAAAGATTATATAATTCAGTTTTGTGGAAATTGAGTCTGTCTAGGAAGTTCTGGGACTTTCTCGTGTTGAATAGCTGTACACCCCTTCCCCCTCCCCTCCCTGATTGACGGGTATCCTTTGGGGAAAGGTTAGGTCCAATTTGAAATAGATAAGAAAGAGGATTGAATTAATAGGCCTAAATCTTTACATAGGTGAGTTACGGGACTATAAGAATGTAGGTGGAGGACGGCCAAGCCAAAATCTCGCCATGGTGCTCACCCTCTCCTAATAGCAAAATTAATCTTACCCGATTTCTGTGTATTATTCTGTTGCATAAAGACATGCATAGACACCACGGAGGGCTCAGGTGTTCAGCTTGAGCCAATTTTCTGTATGTCTTTCAATTCGTTCCAGTCGAATATTCAGAGAAACAATAGAGCCGACCAGTTCGAATATTCAAAAAAACATCAATGATATTTAAAGGCTTGAAAAAAAGAAAAGGCATGTTTTTTTCTTGAATTCTTGACTGATCGAAAGATTAGAGAGGGCATTTATTTTTGAATCTAATCGATTATTCCGGCATTCGAAAGAGCTAAAGAGCTGAATGATGAGTGCTTGCAATTTATTACACTATTGAGAGACTCACGCTCATGAAACACCCCAGGTATCACCACGATTCACCTCTAAATTGATTCGAGCAGCCAATTAATGGAAAGCTTAGGCTTTCATTTCAAATATTCACACGATTTACCTCAAAAATCTGTTCAAAATTTCAACACTATTCATAGAAATGTACGTAATATAAGTAGCTATTGAGATTTTTCGGGTTTCAAAGTACGTGCTCAGATCAGGCCTATGGGTCGGTCGAAGAAGGCACGTCTCAATGAGACCACTCTAAGGGGGGGGGGGGGAGGGTCGTGTAGACAATCTATTGTATTTGTGGGTAAGATTGTAGAGTAGCTCGTATCACAGTTACGCTGTTGATCCGCTCGAAAGTGTGCGACAATCGCGCCAGAGCCTTACATGAGCTAGTAACGGCTTATGTGAGCTAATGGACGAGATACCTCGCGACACCTCAAGATACACAACGTGGATAGTGGCAATTCAAATTCGCGCGGATTAGTGAAGCCATGGAGCAACAGGTTCAGACAGCTCGTCCAAATGCGCACAACCTCACTTTAAGAGAGGGAGAGAGGGGGGAGGTGAAGAGGGTGAGGGGAGTTGGAGCCTTCATTCAAGGGCTTGATTGATGGTTTGCTTTACTTCTATAATGCTTTCTTTTCCAGCCAACTCGACTCCACTTTGCTTCAAGAGCAAATGCTAGTTCCAGACATTCGTTAAAGAGGTCTCCTAATTAAATAATTATCATATTTACAAAAAATAAAGCTACACTGTGGTGCAGTAATTATTTTTGTACCATAGCACTACTATTATTAGTATATATTTCATGACGATTGCTTGCCGAGCTACTTCTGCAATCTAATCACACCACATAATCCCCCCTATCAATTGCTCTCTCAGCAATTCTCCAATCTTTTTTTCCTCCGTAATCCGACTATAGATCTGATTGGTTTTTTTTCTGCTTTTTTATGGCCGCAGCAGCGCTTTGTCTCATTCTTTTTCCCGTTTCAAACCCTCCCCGCCATAGGTGGTGCTGCCCTCTTGATTCGCGGCGATTACCATTTCATCCCTCCGGTGGCGCACGAGGGAGAAACGTCGACGCTATTGAGATCTAATCCTGCATGACTTGACGACTTGGCAATGAACTCCTACTATCAGAAATAATTTATTTAACACAGAATGAGCGTGAGGGACCACGTAAAAAATAGAGCTTAACAACAGATGTGTCACCTCCACAGCGATTGTCCCCCTCGTTTCAAAATCTACCAGAAAATAGGTTAATTTGAGGGCAGGGTATGAGGACAAGGAAGGGCTATATCAATCGTGAGCGCTATCGCAACATACGAAGGAACTGTGGTGGCAACCATTGCCAACCGTCTAAAAGATCCTCTTCTTGTTCAGGATCTAAACCTCATTTGGGGAGGAACGACTCCAGAGTGTGTGAGCAATTTTCATTCATTCCAAAGTTCCTGCCTACCTAGGCTGGGTCCTTGAGGATGCCCCCATATCTTGCGATAGCGCCCATTCGTGCTCATCACGGCCCTCTTTCACTCAGTTCACCGCTGTTGTTCTCTTCGAATATGCCACACAATTGGGTAGTTGTTTTTTTCACGTAATTAATGACGTTCTCAAAACCAGACGCAGTTATCCTTGAGCAAATAACCGTCGCAAACATAAAAATCACCAGCGATCGATTAATGATTCGAGCTCGATAACAGCCCCTCATTGCAAAGTGGTCGATCAGCTTGGCAGAATCCAGCGATGAAGGGCGGCCGAATCCATCATAAGACCATAATTGTCGTGTGCTGATACAGCGCCAACTCATACCCACATAAGTACTTGTTATCTGAGAATTGCTGGCTATTTGAGCGCCCGTGCTGAGAGGGAAGGAGGGGCAAGGGTCGTAGGCTGCCTAAGAGCACGCCATCGAGCAACACTTACGGCTTTAAAGAAATCCATCACAACACGACGACGGATGTCATATGTGGGAGCTTCGAGAGGGTCCCGACTTCAAAATAATGCATCCAATATTAATGGCCCGATCCGATCAAAAGTGAATCCTCGGGGGACGTCGGCCTACGGAGATGAAAGTAAAGTGAGACTTGGAGCAAGAGATCCAACGAGTTGGGCACCACGAAACCAAACCGAGTAAGAAATTCACTCGGTAACAAAAAGCTTGGTTATGGACAAAACTTCCGCCCAGGCGCGACTCGAACCCTCCCCCCCCCTTCCTCCCCACTCCTCGCTTGCCAGGCTAGTGTGCCACAAGTTAATTTATCTATTTATTTGTTTATACTTCCAGAAAAACGCGCCAGCAAATCCAGTATGCGAAATCAATGCAATTATTGGAAGAAAAAATGGAAAGAAAGCTTGGTGGTCCAGGGAACCAGCGGTACCCATACGTCTGAAAAGTTATGCTACTGGGCCACCTTTCGCCCTAACTAAGCTTTTCGTGGTATATCTATCGTAGCTTATTACCACCCCCATCACCAGTAACAAAATGAACAAGTCGAAAATCGATTTTCATTAGGCTAATTTTGGTTCAGCAGCGTTTTCTTAACAGTGAATGGCACATCTGCGAGCGTCTTCCGTCGGGCCTTTCTCTAAACGCCATCTACTTATCTTTGCGTCCAGCTGCACGTACTGTAAGTTTTTCACGTTGCACTTGATAACGTGCACGGGAGGTCTCCCCGAGCGGGGCTTACGAGAGGAAAAAATCTCATCTGTGAGCCTCCTGCACAAAACTGGATAGCTGAAGCTATTAGTTCGCTGATTAACCTCAGAACATCTTACTGAGAGAGTACAGCTTGGATGTTTAGTTCGTGCTCAGATGTGGTAGTGGTTGATGAGTCGGCCAACGACCAGCTGCTGACACCTGTATTGACACGACTCGTTGTGTTCCTAGCAGCACATGCTTACTGCTAGGCAAATATTTAATGAACGCCGCGGTCGAGTTACTTATCTCTCGTTGTCACTCACCAACCCGTCAAACCCCATTCACAACCCCACGTTGAATAGCTATCAATCCCGCCTGTCTGTTTTCGAATGTCGCCGTTTCAAACGCGAAATCTGCAAGTACAGACGATACTACAGTTCCTGCTGAAAGAGCGGGGGGGGGGGTACGAGCCGAGAAAGTGATTGCGTGGCAGAAACAAGCACGCAAGCGGAATTGAAACGGCGCTCGTTGCTCATCATTCGCCTTTAGCCTGCGTCTAGTCGCCACCCCTTTTTCGGCCTAGATTGCTATGAGAGAGGGCATAACGGGCAATCAGTGAAGGCGGAGTGAGGTGTTCAAAGTCTTCTGGCCTGCCCCTGCTGGCCGCCCTGCAGGTGGTCGCGTTGGATGTTTGGTGTTTGACATGAGCAGGAACTGAGTGAGGGAGAACGACTATCAGTAATGAACTGAGAGAGCGGAAATGAACTTTGGAACTGGGAGAGTCGACCACCATCGAATGGACTGAAAAACCAGCACCACAATTACAATTTCAATTAATTTGAAATGCAATTTCATGCGTATAAGCCACCGTTACGAATACTAAACAGATGCAGAAGCGGAGTTCATTTGAAAACTTCAACTGTGAAGTAACAACTTGGTTCTAAAGGATTTCTGACTGTGACTTAGTTGAGTAACGATAAGTAAACACGTCAAACACACTATCAAACCAGTAAGATAATCGATAGCAACAAAAGCGAAAGCGAGACCAAAACTGACCTTTGGGCGTGGACGAACGTCTTTAATGCCGAGACTGAGCTCGTCAGCAGCGTTCTGTAATCTGCAATTACAGAATAATAGAATTACTGTTAGCGTCGTAATCCGTGACATCTTTATCCTGGAGCTAAGCTGGTTGGAAGGCTAGCTGATTGGCGGCTGACGTCCAAGCTGTGTGGTGTGGGGCACAGTGTGACAGGACAGGAGGAGGAGGAGAACGGCTGAGACTATTGGTGAAGGATGATGGCCGAGGGCAGAAGCCAAGAGAAGTGGACGGCAGGCAGCCGACAGGGGGTCTTCTGATGAGTCCGTCAACGGAGGCTGACGGCTATCAGTTCGGATCTACGCCAACAGCACGCTCCGCCTCCCACCCGCTCGTTGCTCTCTCACTCCGGCCGTCTCTCTGCCTACGCTCTCGTTTCGCCGGAATAGGCGGCCACGATGGCGGCGGTCTGTGACGGAAAAAGTGCCGCACTTTTTGTGTATAGGCTTGTGATAACGGATCGACTACGCTGATATTAAAAAGAGCTGCCGGGACAACTCGGCCATATGGAGACGAGTTTCATTCTGGACAAAATGGTACATCATCAAAAGTTGAAGAGATCGACTACCTGTTGGCGCATCCCTTTGCACCGGAATTAGGCGCTGTTGCTCCGTGTGCAAACGTTCGGCGTTGACGGACATCGAGTGAGATGAGTCAAAAAAGTAACAAATGTCCGTGTTCGATAAATCAAATGACGATGAAAAAAAGCACGAATGAATCACAACGATGCATTGCTGTCCGTCAGCAATGCAAGCCATTCTCTTCTCCCTTTTCCTCTTCCTCTCCACCATCTTTCCAAAACCTTTACGCAACGTCCTTGAAGTTACCACTCCAATACAAAACATTGGATCTCTGTCGCTGTCACCGGCCTACGAATTAACTATGGGAAGGCAAACATATCGTGTGGGAAGCTCTAGCACGAAGCGCGCTCTCAGGTACGTCGCCAGCCAACTACAAGCCAGGAACCATCAAATTACAGCTTCTCACTTCAGAAAGTCACACTCACTATCGCAATTCAGGAGATGGAAAAAGCGGAAGAAAAACCACCCCATCTTACCTCACTATGTTTGTGCCATTCCAACAAAATCCCCCTCCGGAGGCCCCCGAGCAAGTTCGATTGGCAGTCTGAGTCCAGCACTTCCGCAATGTTCGCATCTGCAATTGAATGCAAAACAATTGACATCGTGACGTTGAGCACGAGCTCAGCCCATCTCGGCCGAGAAGAAGAAAAGCAAACAAAGGTCAAATTATTTACATGCTCGACGAGTTCCTTCGTTATCGCCTTTAATTCCTGCGGTTTTTGAAGCTCTGAGCCAGTAAAGGATGTCATGTAGATGACATTTTCCTTGAGTAATGGTCCACATTTGTTCACAATTACTTTTGCAAGCCGTGGGGCTTCCGTTTGCACCAGCCTTTGCATACCATTAGAAATGCCGTGGACCAGCTGAAAAGAGTCAGTTACACGCTCGATCTCATTGAACTCCTAAAGGGGACCAGTTCGTTGGTCGCAGTCTGCGGACGGCAACTCAATGAAGTGACCAGTTAAAGCTAATCCAAATGAAATGCGGGGGGAAGCAGGTGGCAGGCAGCACCGACTTCCCTCGCATCGAATAATGAGAACCAACGGACTTCTAATTGAGTCACACTGGGAGCTCATGGCCTCGGGTGGGGGAGAAGTTGGAGAGACATCCAAAATAGGGCTTTGGTAGGTGACACTAGGACTAAGACCAGGAGAGATCAGAAACGCAAGGATGACACAAATGGCTCACATCCTCCCCAAAATCCCTTCTCCTCCTTAATTCCAGTCAAATGTGAAAGTAGGGGTAGGAAGTGGACCGCCAGTGGAGAAAAAAAAAAAAAAATCGTGAAATACACAGGAAATACGAGCCTTTTGCTCTACGCTGCGGAGAAGTTCAAAAGGCCGGCAGGGAGATGAGAGATAATGTGAGCGCGGAGAGCGTAGAGAAGTCCGAGTAGAGAGAGCATAGCAGATCAAGTTGCGACGCAGACAAGATATCGAGCGGTGGGCGGAGCGTGTCGCAACAGGTGGAGCGTGTCAAAGTTCTTAGCGCCTAGCGTCTAAGTAACGCTTTTCGAAGTAGGGAAGTGACGCGACCTCTGCACTTGCGTACCTAGCGCTTCTAGCCACCGTAAAGGCTCATTAAGTGGGTCTGAGCCCGAACTTTGCCTTTAAGGCTTAGTTCAAAGAACTGTAAGTGGCTCACATGAGTCCCCCTAACGACATGAGCGTCCATATCATGTTCATAGTATAAGATTATATGAAGGACACCACACTTGAGGAGCGTAATTTTATTCCAGCTTTCAACGCGGCCTTCGGAATCTCACCGTTTAGCTGGAGAACTAAACTCACGTGAATAAACCCTTCATCGTATCTCCTCGTCACTTTGTAGAGTTCATCGATGTTTGCTTCCCATTTTTTCGAGAGATTTCCCAGACAGCTATATGAAGCTGATATGCAAGAACCCCTGAAACTAGATATGTTTGAGGATATGTATCTAGCTAGCCTACAATCTCAAGTATGCAAAATATATGAAGCAGGTCCAAGTTGAACAAATATATGAAGATGCGGGTGATTTGAAGTAGAGACGGAAGATCTTAGCGCAAATTCGGAAATCGGAAATTATAGCAATAGGATTGAGAGCCTCTGAAAACAGAACGTTTGCACCCGGAAACCGCACATTATTCAATGTTGATCTAAGTTATAGTGGAGCAAAGCGTAATCGCGATTCTCTGGGCTCTGAGGTGAGACTACGTAGCTTTTTGCTTCAAGTTTCAATTTTGATAACCCAATGACCTAAAATTGAGATGTTCAACTTTTTTCAAGTTCGTCCAAAAAGAGTCAAGAGATGAGTGCTTCTGGAAGACGTCGACATTCACCGAATAGGTTCCGATTTCCTCCTCTCCCAGAGCGTCACACTTCTTCACTACGACTCCTACTCTCGTGAACTTCATCGGGTGAACAGGCATCTTTCACACTATTACCCCTACATCTAATTATCAACGCTTCTGAACTAGTATTCGTTGTTACTCCACACCCAACTTTTGAAATCCGTATCACGTATAACGCACTAGGCGGAAGTGGTGTAGTGGCAAGTGGCACGCTTACCACGCGAGCGGTCCGGGGGATCAAATCCTGGGTCGTGAGTCGCCCGGGCCAACCAAGCCTTCCATCCCTCCGGGGTCGGTTAATTGGTACCAGACTTGTCTGGGAGGATAAAAACACTGACTTGTACATCGGCTGGCCCCCGCAAGTCATTGTATAGGCCACATCGCATTCAAACGCCACTACGAAACAAATGGAAGTAGAATGCGTGCCGCATCCCAAAAAGGGATTGATCAACGGCAAATGCTTTATCCTTTTTCTTCATGTAACGAGCTAATGATATCTGGGTGTGTTTGTATGTGTGTGTAGCGTGAATCGAGAAAGCGCACTATCTGAATCAATTCCTGGAGATACCGGGTCAAATTCGCTATGAGAGGAGACTATCTGCCACTATGCACACGAACCATATGAAGCTCTTTCCACGGTGGTCGTGGTATGCAGAATAAGCAATGATCCCTGGCTCGGTCTCGAGAAGGCCCAGATGTGCGGAAGTTTGCGGCGGACTATCATATCAGGCCAGAAAATCTAGCCGCGGTGGGCGGGTCTCATTTAAATGGGCGGAGTTTACGGTGGCAGCCCATTCTTCTGCTCCAAAGCATACCAGGGGCCGAAAACGAGGTGTGCAGAAGCTAGCGAAGGAGGAAAGCCGAGGCTTGTGTCAATCAGGGTGTGTAGTGTGCATCAAAGCAGGCATGGCAAGAATTTTGGCTGCTCTTCACATATCGCGTGGAACCGTATTGCGGGCGACAGCGTACTGCTCTATGTAGCAAAAGCATAGTCGTTCAGAGTGTAGTACTCTTTACAAGATAGACTGGGAGGAATGGCTAGCAGAAGGACTCATAGCAGAATTGGAGTGCAATTTGGCCTTTGATGACATTCGGTGGCCACTTCATGTGAAGTCAGTGTGTTCGCCTCACAAAGAAGCCCAGTGCCACCACTAACTTAGACCGCATTATAGTTCTGGTTGGCTTGAGCGTGATTCCAGACGGGACCTGAACCCCGTCTTCCACGGGTAATAAATAGCGCTTACCACCACACCACCTTCCATTAGGGATTCAAGGGTAAATAAGGCACACTTCACGACGAGAGGGCAGCTCTTCAAAAATAAAGGCAGGGATAGTGGTCAGTGATGCACGAGAGAAGAAAAACGAGAAAAATGGCCTAGAACCCGAGAAATGGGACCCCTTGCCCGTTGATTTGCGCATTGATGCGACTCTCATCGGTGCTGCCCTCTTCAACGCTAACGCTCTCTCTGCTGAACGGCTAGAGACTCAGACACGAGACGACGCGAGAGGGGGGGGGGGGCGTACTGGGCCAATAGGCGCGAAATATTCCGCGGGAATGGCCCTGCTAGATCGCCAGAGATGCGGATTTCTCGGTTCGCACCTTCCAGGAAGATCCGCCTTTATTTCCACTAGATAAGTTTCCCCTTTTTCGACCTCCGACTTTATCGTGAAATCCTCCTTTGAAGGCAGTGATCCCCTTCACGACGTTCGGATGAAGCAAACTGTGAAACGCGTGAAGAGGCGATCCCAAGCACACCGTAGCGCGGAGGAGTCTAGCCCACCAGTGATGTTCATAACGTCATCAAAATTCTACCGTTCCAGTCATGGTGTTCACTGCCTTTAAGTCAGCACAGCACTCCTCAAGACATTATACAGGAAAATCCCTGTGCTGAAATCGAACGATGCGGCGGGAATTACCGTGTTGTATGAAAAATGAGCTGTGAATCCGTGATACAGCAGTTCTGTATAATGGAACGCAAAAAATTAAGAGATTTTTTTGAACCCTCTTGAAATTGGTAGATTCGCAGTTTTACTTCTAAACTCTACTCATGGGAGTATTCATAGAGCAACTCGCCACCACACCAAACCCAGCCGGCTTTCGTGTTGGATTTTTTATTATTTATTCACTCATATGTTTGAATTTACTATTGTTCATATATTCAATTCATATTTGAAATTGGGCGGAAGTGGTGTAGTGGCAAGTGGCACGCTTACCACGCGAGCGGTCCGGGGATCAAATCCTGGGTCGTGAGTCGCCCGGGCCAACCAAGCCTTCCATCCCTCCGGGGTCGGTTAATTGGTACCAGACTTGTCTGGGAGGATAAAAACACTGACTTGTACACCGAATTATCAACACAATATGTTTTATCTTTTACCCTTTTATGTCTGAAGTTGATTATTATGGAATTGATTCCAGAATGACGTCACTTATTTTGATCAACTTACCTACAATAACTGACTGTGTCATCTGTGAGACATTTCGGACAAACGGTGACGTTGTGGAACCGATGAGCACACTCTACTGTGATTTCATCTTCAGCAGTAATCAGGCTGTTATGCAAGGCTTGAAGTACGGCATCAACTTTTCTATACTGCCATATAGCGTCAGCAACACTGCAATTCTCTTCATTACGCTGTGCCGATTCGCCTTGTTCAACCCGAAAAATAGCGTTGCACTTCAGAAGAGTCCTTCAAAACGCTCAACAACGACCCTACTGGGAAGATGCACTTTATTCCGGAGATATTAAGTACCGCTCGGGTGGAAAAACAAGAGCAGACATCACAAAAAGAAGCACTTGATTTCAAATTGCGTTCCTCCTCGCTAGGAGAACGCCCATATGGCTTGGGAGAGAATTCAGGGGCCGTAGCAGCTTAAACACAACGAAGTTTAAAGTTCAGCGTTTGGTTGAATTAGAGCACTGAATGTATGTTTTGACCAATTTTTTGAAAACCCCGAAAAAACCCCGTCCCCGTAAAATTTGTGGATCACCAGTCTAAGGGCCTTTCTCATTTTCTCTACATTTTCCTGACAAGCTCCAACGTATATGAGCAATAATATCGATGTAAAAATGTTACATGTGCCCTAAAATCCATACCTCTGCATGCAATAGTGCTTGAAGCCAACCATTGCACCAAATGGGACGCTGGTCGAAAATGAAAGTACAGATGCTAATTGGTGCGATGTGAAGAAAAAACTAGGGGACACTACCCAAAATTCGTGAAGTGGGACCCCTTTTTGTCCATCGATTCCGGCTCTGGCGAGATTCAAACAGAGCTGACATCGAAGGAGAACAAACTGCTCTGCTTTTCTCCTTATAGGGTTATTGGCCGAGGCGAGTGCAGGAATCTGGAGGAGTGCGCAGCTGCGATATTAAAGGCAGAGTCTACGATGAGAAGGCAGCCCAGTAGAAGGTAGAGGTAGTCAGTGATGCAAAAATGAAGAAGAAACCAAGGAAAATGGCCTATGATCCGCGCAATGGAACCCCTTTTTGCCCGTTACTTTGCGGTTTAGCAGTCTCATCGGTGCTGCCCTCCTTGGCAATAATGTTCTCTCTACTAGAGCAACTAGAGTCAGACGGCGAGGCTGTGGGCGGGTAGCGGCGCAGGTATGGCTATGCTTAGCCCCTGCAGCATACCCGGCTTAGCATAGCCATACCCGCGCCGCTGCAGCATACCCTTCGTTGTGGAACTTGCGCAGTATCGCACCCTTAGGGGACCTTGTCTTCCCACTAAGACTATTTCTCGACTTGCGACTTCCGACTTTATCGTGAAATCTTCTGCAAAGCAGGTCTATTCAAACTTTGAAGGTCCACTCTATCTTTCCACGTGTCATGAAATCACATACAAAGTCATGGTATAAGGTTGCACCAGCTGGGAGGAGCAGTCTGTAGATGAGCGGTCCTTAGAGGTAACATGAAGGTATGGGGCAGCTGTATTTTTAGAACACATGACACAAAACTGTGCTTCTGTTGTGAACCAATTTGAAACAAACCCTGAAAAGCTTTTTTCATAGATTTGTGCCCGTCCAACAAGGAAGGGCATTTTAGTCAAAGGTCCAATAGACATCAGAGAAACTCGTACCTGTATGCCATTTTCAATGGCTCGTCACCGAAAAAGGACACCCATTGTTGCACATTGTTTCGTAAACATTCCATATAAGGAGCACTGGCTGTCCTGAACAGGAATGACTGACTCGCAATCTTTTATGGACCTTTATGTACTGATGGGGCGAAAGTTGGTCAGTGGCAAGTGCCCCCCCCCCCGGGGTCGGTTAATTGGTACCAGACTTGTCTGGGAGGATAAAAACACTGACTTGTACATCGGCTGGCCCCCGCAAGTCATTGTAGGCCACATCGCATTCAAACGCCACTACGAATGTACAAATGGAAGTAGAATGCGTGCCGCATCCCAAAAAGGGATTGATCAACGGCAAATGCTTTATCCTTATCCTTTTGTAATGCTAACTGAGAAAAACATATTTCAAATAGCTACAAGTATGAAATACCCATTTATTGAAAGAGAAAACGTAAAAGGGATACTTTTTTCAGGAGTCATGACACCAATGCCGATTCCAAATTTTCAGTAATATACTTTTTTGTTTACTTATTCAAAGAAAAATGAATTGCAAACTATGACTAAAGATTGCTGTAAATTATTCACTGCGTGCCAAGTAAATTGAAAAAAAAACTCAAGTGGAATTGTTTTAATTGATTTTTGATGATTACAGCGTCTACTCGAATTTCACCTGTTTTTATCGATTTTTCAAAAGGATCCTAACTCAACCTGACAAGATCGAAATATAGAACAAACCTGCATGTGCCAAGGGCGAAACATAAAAAAGCTGAAGGAAGCACGTTCGTGTGAAATTGAGTTACACTTGCGTTCACCAGCGAAAAGATTTCTTTGGCAGTCAGGGTCTAAAAAGAATGCACATATGTCGTAGCAATAGAGAACACTAGTTTCACTCTCCAAAACCGCTAACAGCGCCAACACAATAAAAAGAAACGCTTGCTATGGGTATTCAGTTTGACGTTCACTTCAAACATTAGACAAAATGAGGGTAATGGCTCGGATTGTATTTGAGGTGTAGAGAATGTGCTTTCAAATATCTTGGGATGCAGCCTTAAACAAACTGTGCGCGTTAATTTGCCTCCATACTTCCCGGGTGCCCAACAGGTTTCCCGCCACGCGGCGAGAAGGCAGAGACGCAGGCAGATCAGCGGACGAGTCGCAGCGCGTACGCAGTGATTTCGAACTGACCCCTCCGCGTCTCTGCCTTCTCACCGCGTGACGGTCTCTTGTCGGGTATCCATACTTCCCTGCACAGGTGTGATATGTAGGATAACTTGGTGACAGCGGCAACGTTGCATGCATAAAACCCAGATTACAAAAAGAAACAAATCATCAAAACACACCTTGCGGACACTCCACGGTTGCTTATTTATATTGAGTGTGTTATGTTCGCATCAAAAAAAAAATAAAAAACGATAAACATTAATTGTTATATTTTTCAATGAAATTGTCATCACTACGATTTAAACTTTCGCATCACTTCATATTAAAGGCGGAGTCTACGACGAAGAGGCAGCTTGAAAGAAATCAAGATGGAGGTGCTGTCCACCAATCGAGAGGGGTGGGGGCGTATCTCATGCGCTGAAGGGAGAAGTTGTGGGCAGACTGACAGAGCCAGGAATAAAGCTCCTTCAGAGCAGCTTTCCATAGCATGCGGAAATGATGTCCCGCCCGGTGTAGGACTCACAATTTTGCCTTTTGTGCCTCACCGTTATCACCAGCAGTTTCGCCGTAAGATGGCTCTGGCAGTTGCGGAATAACTGTCTAGATGAAAATGTACTGCAATTATAGGCTGCAGTACCGTGTAAGTAGTAATAGGAAATTAGGAGCTACCATTTAAGTCATACTGTAGCTATGCTATGATAGTACCATTAATGTGCGTCTAGGATTTTGACTTGATGTCGAGTATTTCGCGCATTTGAAAAAAAAAACAGCCAAAGCCGTATGCTTAGATTCGAAAGGGTTTCTTAGGCATCGCAGTGTTCCAGGATGGAATTCCATGGAGGAGGAACTCGCTGTTCAAGGCGAAAAAACATCTTCTGCCTTGACTTTATTTGTTGCTTTTTGTTAGTAATAATTAGGCAAAAAATAATTCCTTCTCTTATCCAGGCGAAAATTCGCGACGGGGATATTTGGACTTGGTACTTGACTACTAGTTCTAATAACTTGAAAAGAGCATTTTTCACAGCTCAGATTTAATATTCCCAATAGGACTTCCACGAAAGCTGGGAGCTATGGCTGCTAAGTGTGCAAAAACTCGGATGTGCCAGAAAGTCTCTAAGTCATTTTGTAACATGGTAATTTTTTGACACTGACCTTACCATTAACTGTTTATGATCTTAAGTGATAAAATTCCTAGTTTACCTCGCACAGATTCTTTCTCAAGTAGTGGCCGACGAGAGCTTAGCCCTTGTGATTTTGGAAAATTTTCGAAAATTTTCCACGTCGCTTCCGGAAATAAGTCGTTTTTGTCAATAGGTCTGAGGCTGGTATAGTTCAGAAAGTGCTCTCCGAAGCTTTCATTCGAGTTGAAATTCTTTCCTTTCGTAGTATGCTTCGAAAACAGTTGCAATTTCTGTTCCAGCCAGGGTTAACATCGGTCGCTGATTTCTCAACGACTTGTCGAGGAATTCCTCGACCGTTATTCACCTTGGATCCAGCAAATAACACACCCCGAGTAAAAAAACGCACTACAACAGCTTGCACATTGCTTCATGTGTCCTTCTCATGCAGAAAAGCGGCAGGGAAGAAGGCCCACTTTAGCAAGGGGGGGGGGGCGTATATAGAAGTTTTATGCTAGACACCACACCATCTCTTGTCCCGCCACGTGCGGACGGACCCTGGACCCTGCGCAGGGCGGACATTTTGCGCTTTTGTTATGGATGTTGGACCAGAGCGGTTACCGACTGGATCCCTCGGGACGTCAAACGAACACCTGGACGACCGCCGGCCCGATGACATCTTCACGAAAGCTCTGAACGAAAGGAATCTTGAATCGCTAGGATTAGAATAATCCGGTGGAACCACTCTTTGTTATTTTATCCTTAGTACTAGAGAGCACTCCTCTGTAACACCAGTGACAACATAATGCGGTAAAATCTTATTTTAAATGCACTTTTCATAAGGACCAGCCCTCCATCCCACAATCCTGTCCACATCCTATCCAATTTTTTGCGCCTGGTATCCACCCTGGAGCTCCTCCAGGCTTAGGCCTAGGCAAAAATGTCAGTTCCCCTGTTCAGCACCACCTCCTCGGTCCGTTGCAAGCTGTACTGTGCGCGCACCAGCAGGACTCTCACACTGTGAACACCGACACTTATAAGAAGTGCTTCAATGAGACAATTACGCGTGATGCGCCCTATTATTCTTATCTTTAGCACTGAAGAGCACACGATAGTCCCCCCCCCACTCCATTTTCACCGCTGACTGTCCCTCAAGCGAGGAGGATCCACTAGAGCACTCTGGCACTCACGAGGAAGGAACGGGAGCGTTACTGGGGCCTGCTCAAGAGACTTGATGAAAAAAGGGACTACAGGTGAAACAGAGAATCGACATTTCCGGGTGTCCCCAAGAGGCCCGTCGCGCGGCGAAGGAAGAGACGCAGACGCGGCAAAGGACGAGTCGCAGCGCATACTGTAGCGGTTAGGCGTCAGGTTAAATAGAGTGTACCATACTACGTCTCATATCGCACAGCACGCGCTGCGTCTCTTCCTTCGCCACGCGATGGTCCTCTTGGGGGCAAGTTCAGCGACGCTGACCCTGCAAACCACTGTAGGCCAAATGTGCGCTGAAGCGGATCCCCATAATTTTGAATGAAATTTGAATGGGCGATACAGATATAGCTTCTAATCGGCACCGTGCAGACTTGCCTTTTCAAAATTTACCATTTTTCGTTTGATTGATTACTAGATTTTTTGAGTGATAGATCAGAAACCTGGGACAGGACGAAAGTGTTGGAACGCAACGCATAGGCGCACTAGTGTAGAACCTTGACTAAGCAGCTTCAATAATCATCCGGCGTGACCAAGATGGCTAATCCAATTTCCCATCGATGGAACAATGCGGAAAGTGAAATTGCATTCGCAGAGGGGAATAATTGGAGGGAACGCGCTTGACTGGCGTCCTCTCCGTTCTTCTCTCTGAAGTCTGAGGTAGTCTATTCTTCAGATGGCTTAGAAACAGTGGAAATAGCGCATGACGCCCACAATAGCGATAAGTAAAGAAACTCATTCATCCATTCGATGGCCACTATTCGAGTTCCGTGAAAACCATATGGCTTATCGCGGTTCAATTTCTGATATGCTAGCCAGCTGGACCACAAAAACTTTTTCAGGTTGATAGGACCAATGCGGTCCCTGATTTTGAAGGAGAACGATATCAGCACAAGTTCAGCTGAGGTGGACCATTAGAAAACATGGCACGGGAAAGCACCGCGATAAGAACCGGTGGAGTGTGGCTGTCTAGAAAAGAGAAGAAGAGTCTGGGGGTGGTCTGGGACGGAGAAAGTGAATTCTTCGCATTCCTTCCCAGGAACAATAACCTGATAAACGATTCCACGTCGTCTGAGCTGGACTACGTTATTATGTCAGGGCGTGGCTCATTGTTCTTGAAGTGCAGACCGACACCCGTTTATTGAAGCCACTCTTCACAACACTAAAGGAGAATGTTTGGGAGAACTCTTTCGTTGGACCTCTTCAGATGGCTTCCTTCATCAAACGAGAAATGTAGGAAACACTAGGCGTTTGTCAACCACTTGTTGTGATGCGCCACGAATCTTCCCGCCATTCAAAACCGTGGCAGCATTTGAATATGGTTGAGCTTGTACATTGGCTTATTGGGGGCAGTCATGTACAAGTCATTTTCATGCTCCCGTGACATTCTGGGCTACTCAAACGACTCCAGTTGAATGGAAGGCCTGGTTGGTTTGGGCGGAACTCGATCGGAGATTCGGGCGCAGGGCTGCACACGTATAAGCGATGTCACTTCTTCTGCATTATCTGCGACCCATTGCTCCAGTGACATTGGGAACTTACATTTGCGCTTGATTCGCATGATTACCCGCTACACAATACGAGCGAATTGGTCGTTTAGCGCATGCAACTGAGGGGCGGGGTTTGTGAGATGGGCGGGGTCTGTGAGGAGGTGAGGTCCGCTGACTGCAAACAACCAACGAAAAATCGAAGTGCACTGCCAAACCTTCTGGTTTCGTAGCCAAAAAAATCGTTTGTATCATTTTGCTGCAGAACTTGAATTAGAGGGAAAAAAGCGAGAAATAATACATTTCTTTTTCATTAGCTGTTCCAGGTAGGTAGAGGAAAATGAACGAGGAGAAGGTTATCATAGCTACCGTTACTTCATGAACAACTTAGGATTTGAACCAACACAATGACGAAATTGCGAGATGCCCGACAGGAGGCTCATCAAGCGGCGGGAAGACAGAGACCCAGTGGACGAGTCAAAGCGCGCACTGTAGCGATTTAGCTTCTTTTTAGATAGAATGTACTACAGTTTGTCCCACATCGCGCAAAACGCGCTGCGACTCTGCCCCTGACCCGTGTGCGTCTCTGCCTTTCCGCCGCTCGACGAGCCTCCTGTCGCTCACCCAAGATTGAAACGCTTTTTTGAAAAACACCTCACCCTGTTATCATTGAGCAACTTCTGCATCGAAACTATAAGCACATCCATGTTTGTTAGAATATCTGTCTGTGCCAACCAATTGCCGTATTTGGCCCGCATATCTTTCATCACGTCATATTTGGCACGTTGGAGGACGTAGAGCTTTTCGGCTAAATGAGCTTCACTATAAAAAACGAATTTGACTATGGGTTTTTCTGTCAGCTTTATCATTAGCTTACCTTCGATTTGATAAATTGCTTCTCTCACTGTTGGCAGTAATTTCAGTGCACTAATTCTTGTCACCAAACGTAAATGTTCCCTAGTTTTGTTCACTTCGGCCTCCTTCTGACAATCGCATCCAGTTGCGTTGATCTGTGAAAAGATGGGAAGTTGATTACAGAATCAGCACAATCTGCCCGTTCTCTAGTTAACTGCTACCTTGCACACAGTAGTATTACACATTATATGTAAAGGTGATAGCTTCCAGACTCAATGGAACAACGGTGCTGCTCTCAGGAGTCCACGTAGCGGTACGCTAACTCTGCCGTGGTGGTTCCCCTCAACTTTAAAGGCAGTGAGTACGATAACACTGGACACGGGTTCGGAATGGAAGTGGGAGCGCGAAATGGTGAACTAATTGTCAAAAACCCGCGAAAGTTACCACGGCTTCGTTTTCAAGGACGAGTTCACGAATTATTAGGATGGTAAGAAAGTTCTGAGCCGTTTGATACTTTTTTGCCTTACTTTCTCATTCCGCGTACAATGGAATTTACTCAACAATATAATCACCATTGTTACTCAGTACAGAGTCCCACCTAATAGGCAGGTCAGCGACCCCCTTCTCCCAGAACTGAGCAAACTGAGAGTCAAAAG